GTCGCTTGTGCTGGGTCCTAAAAGGATACCTGGTATCACTAGGCAGATACCTTGTAAAACGAGACTTCCAAGGAAGTCTTGTGTAATTATAGTTTTATAAGTTACCTAATTATGTTAGTGTTCCATAGACCTGAGTTAGACCTCAGCTGTTGACATTCATCCTTAAAACGGGAATAAAACGGTTCATAAATAAGAACATTTTTTTGACCACCTCCTATATGCTTAAAAATTTTTTCAAACTCAGTAATACTTTTTAAAAACTTCCTTACTACATGTCAAAACTCTCAAACTCCCTCTTTGGGAAAACAATTCATAGGGTTCCACCACATACAGATTGACATACAAAGTCACCCCTCCGCTCCAAAGAGGCCTTTAATTCCTTAAGAACCAGACATGGGGTTCTACTGGAGGGACAGCCTCCAATAAACAAGAATATCATTGGACATGCCCAGGGAGAGCTGTCTTTCTTAGGGCTGCCTTTTTTTTTTTTTTTTTTGTAAAAAGAGTTAAGTGTAAGAGGCTGAATCTCACTATGCTTCTCCTAAATCTCACTATGCTTCTCCTAAATTCTACAATAAATTATAGTCCAATTGTCTAACCCCACCAAGCACATTTAGATCACACTTGGAGAGCTTTTCAAAGGCCCCACCCCCAGATATTCTGATGTAAATGAGTTACGGTAAAGGAACTGGTACTGTAAAAACTACTTAAGTGTTTCTGTGATTAGGTTCATATTGAGGTGTGGAGAGGAAAGAGAGGTGGTCCTGATTTTTGCTATCACCACCAAAATGTTCAGAATTGTTTTTCTTTTTGAAAAGTTAATCATGTTTTTAAATACTTTCTATGAGTAAGAATGTCATAGTAAATCTTACAGTGGACCTAGACTTGCTGTCAAGGACATTAATATTTAGTGTTGGTCTAATATTGGCAAAGGACAAAGCATGAATCAGAGCCCCTACCTTCAGTGAGCTCACAATCTACAGCTACAGAATTATTAAAGTATAAAATTATAGCTTTAAAACTATTATTTCTACAAATAGCTTTATGGAAGTCCTGGTAACGAGGACAGCCAATGATTTCTGCTCATACAGTAAAGCTCTAAGACTTTAATGAAATCCCTTCACTTGATTGTGTTGAAAGTGTTACTTCATTTTGGAAAACTATAAACTGTAGGTTTCCAAAATGATAATAAATGGCTAGGTAAACGACATAAAAGGGATTTCTTTTAAAGTTTCTCTTTACTACTTCACTGTAGGTAGCCCTACCAGTGTGTCTTCATCCTTAGCTCTGGAGGGGATTAAGGATTGCTGTGGCAGAAAGGCAAAAAAAAAAAAAAAAGAATATTCATCTTTTAACTTAGGTAATCACATCTGTGAATGCATAGCACGACCTACCAAGAATTAAGCATGGCTACCTTGACCACGAAGGCAGTTACTAAAAGCAAGAGAAAGAATTCAGGGATTGAAGAAAAGGAGGTACCAGCAAAGTGGGAAAGTTAACCCTTTCTGGTTCCATGAAACTAAGGGCAACGCTAATTTCCTCATTCCATCCTCCTATAGTGCCTTGGGCTGAAGAATGACCCAAATGGATTTAAAGAGCTGAGTTCAGACCAACAAAGTCTTACTGAAACTGGAGGCAATAGAGGAAGGGAACTCAATGACTACAGGAAATGTCAGAATTCTAATGGTCAACATCCCTGAGTCCCCTAGTGGGGGACGTTTTAGGCCGTTTACTTGCTAGTGTAGAAAACAAGAAATGAGTTACCTAGGCTAGATATACAACCCCCACCCGGGTCTGCATGAGCTCTCTCCCAGATGGTACTTTCAGGTTTCTTTGACAACCAACCACCCATTGATACATTCTCTTGAGATCAACCCGCACATGTCTTGACAAATTCAACAGTAAACCATGGTAGCCAAAGCCATGGACGCTTGACACAAATCTTCAAATAAGAGCAAACCCATAAAGAAAAAACAAAATTCTTCATAATTCTATAGGGACAGTAAAAAACATTAGACAATCTGTACACCCTTCTTTTATCTCTGCCCAGAAATTCCAGCCCTGGAAACTCACTGGTGTGTACATATAGGCTGTTTGGCGGCCCTAAGGAAGCATTTAAGGGGATTTTACTTTGTAGGGGTCTCAGTAACAAAGGTGAGGAAAATGGTGCTTCACTCCTCTCCACTAACAGATCTGACAAGCCATTGAGCCAACAGAGGGGTTTTTACGTCCAGATTATTTTTGGCTCCATTTTAAAGACTTAAGCAAAATAGCTATTGCTTCCGCGACAACCTCAAAAATTGCCGTTCATGGAACAAGCTGGAGGTAGAGCTATTAAAAGTATACACCCGCCCTCAGTCCCGTAAACTTTAACTACCGGGTTCAAAAACCTGGCTGAAACGCAGATCCAGGCGACGCCCTCACGTGATCCGTTCTAATCGCGTCATAGGGACACGTGGTTCTAGATACTTCGTCCCCTCCCCCTCAGGGGTGGATTGTTGACAACGCCGCGGGCAATCACGTGACCTTACGTCATCCCACCGCTTTTCCCTGAAATCTCTGGACCCGGATGCGTCCCTCTCTCTCCCCACCCGGTCGAGACTAAACTCGTTAAGAGGGGGAGACGGGCTGGTATTCTGTTTCAGTGTCTCTAATCCACAATTTCCAGTCTGAGCACAGAGAGAAATAATTGGTCTGTTAGTTCAGGAACCCAAAATGGATAGGATCCCTGCTGAAAGGCTCCCATAACGAGCTCTCCTATGTCCCGTCCCTTTCTCCCCCACCCCTCACTCCATGGTATTGGCGGAAGGCGGAGGGATCCGGAGGCGGCGGAGGGAGACGTCATTGCAGGGTTGTTTGTGCAGCCTCAGCGGCGGCGGTGACCCACAGTGATTCGGCCGCCGCGCCGGGGGGTGGGGGGGGCTGCGCGGGACTCTTTTCTTTCAGACTGACCGCGGGGTAGCTGTGGAGCATGTCGACCCCGGCCCGGAGAAGGCTTATGCGGGATTTCAAGCGGTAAGGACCTCCATCTTCGCCTAGATGACGGCTCTTCCCCAAGGCTGCGGGGCTGCAGGGCGGGTATCCAGGACACCTTCTCCTCATGACCCTAAGAGGGCCGCTGTGGGCCCAGCGGGACAGACGGAAGCCCAGTCCTAGCCCCCGGTTGCAGTCACTTATCCTTGCTTGTTCACTTTTTCGACGTAAGAAATGTCGATACTCCTTCACCCGTCCCCACCCCAAAAAAGTAAAAGGATGGCTGTGGGTTGCTCTCGGATTCTCTGCTGCCCACCACTAGGGCCAGTTGCCTGTCGTCTCGTCCGGGCGTTCATACCTCATCCCCTGCTGTTGCACCTTGCGGTGCCCCCTTCCTTTGCTCTAAAGCCGAGCTCTTGCAGAAGCTTTCTCCCCAGTATCTGCACCATTCAGCTTTGTTCGGTGGCCCTGCGGTCTTCGAGGGCCGGGGTTGGGGTGAACCCCCCCCTTCCTCCCCGTTCTTTCAGCAGTGAGGGTGGGGTCTGATGCGCGAGGGCCGGAGGTTGTTAACCCATCCTCCGAAACCAGACTCTCCCCCGCCCGCCTGAAAGGACCTTGAGAACTGGCTTAGAAACGTGGGACTCGGGTTGGCAACTCCGGCTGCCAGTGCCTTCTGGAACTCAGCTCTGTGGCCTGATGTGGAAAGCCCTATCTATAGCCTCCAAAGTTTGGAAAAATGCCTTCTTTGAGACTGGAGCTAACCTGATACTCCCTGGGCCTCCTTCTGTAAAATAGGGTTTTGTTGGATGGTGTTAGAGGTTAGCGAGAAGGAAGTGACTTTTTCAGTTGTTTTTCTTTGATTGAATACTTCGAGGTACGAGGAGAAACTAACTGAG